ACATACCTTACTAAGCCGCCGCTGCAAAAAGAACGATTCAGCAATCAGGCATATCTCAAAAGCTCATGCATTAGTCGCACCATGAGCCACCTCGATGTTTCCCAAGAGGACGGCGCTTCTTTTGGCCTTCGCAATACCGAATGGCCAGTAAGATTAAGGCATTGCCCGGCACTTGGGGAGAATAAGTGGCAGTGGGAATAGTCAGTTCTTTCGCACCAGTTCAGGTTTGAGCATCACGCACTCAGGGACACACAACGGGCCTGGTTGACTCGCATAAAACCTGATTGACCTCATCGTGCATCTTTCTTCTGAGTCCCGACCTTCTTTTACTTCGGCGAGATTATTCGTGTGTCGCTTCACTGCAGACTTGGTGTGTTGCCCCTTATTCCCATGCGCCGCAAAGTACGCCTTTAGTTACCACAGTCTTCGTATGCAGTCCTCTTCCAGCGTCTCATAGCGGCACGAAAGAGAGTGTCTGCGTCATCTAACTGTTGCGTTTATTATATAAACACGCTCGGCTTTAATAGTCTAAATGATATCTTAAGTCATGGCACTCCCCCCAAGAGAACGTGTCAGCCCCAGCAGACGGTCAGAGCACTGCAAATGTAACCAGATGGCTCCTGTCCTTTTTTTGACGTCAATTAGAGCATTCTCTACACCAGGCTCAACTCAAAATAAAAATGCAGCAGACATGACGGCTGCCACGAGCAGTAAGAAGGGGCATATTGTACCTCGCAGAACGTTACCCTATCTACACGACTTTGTACGGAAACTATAATCACGTTGAGAACGATGAGAAAGGAGTTTTAGTGCGATATTTTTTAACATTGTATTCCGCCAGAGATAAATATTACGTAGAAATAATTGCAAAGCACCAACAACAAGCGAGGCGTTGCCCCAGCGCATAACTGTCTATTCTGCAAAGAATGGCGCGCAAGCTTAGAAAATCACATTTTTATGCAGCACTTGCCACCAATTCACGTTCAGTGACAATAAACATTCTATGTTCAACGACCTTTCTTTTTGTACTGAGTTCCTAAATCATTTCTTCAACTGTGTTCCTGTCAGTATATAGACCTTGGTTTTTCTTTTTTGTATATACGCACCGCATATCAAGAAGATATTGCTGTAAAAGTGGCACAGCGAAAGTTGCGCATCCTTATCCGCTGTGGCCCAAAATGAAGCTTGTAATGATTTTGTTCAGCATGAAGGAAGGAATATACATGCTTCTTGTATTGAAAACTATCTCTCTACTTCTTGCTAGAATGCCTCATTGTAATACAGACGTACTATGCAACTTTCGTAGTAATGAATTAAGCTACTAATTACAAATTCATTGGATAATCACCTTGGTAACGTTGATGCTTTCCGTTTAGTTCTCCACTCGAAAGTTAGCATCAGCAGTTGCACTCAAAGTATGACGTAGCCATGTTTAGGACGGCGCGGTGTTGTGGCTGGCTATCGAGTGAGAGATGTAAAAATTTAAAAGCGCAGTATATAGTTTCACCGATCACAAATGAACAAATATCGCTGTTCTGTATCCGGCCAAATAGTATGAGACTACAGTATTCTTCTGAGAGGTCAATTTTCAGCTCGGCTACTCCTGCACACTGACCCGTTAAGTTGCAATGGGACAGCAAACATTCGGCTTCCTTCTCGTGAAATAGCACAAAGGCTGCAGTCTTATGCAGGCGTACGTCGCGCTATGCATGATTTTTATTTTAAAAGCCTGCTCGCGATTAGTTAAAAAACAAACAAAGGACTTTAGCTCCAATTAGCAAAGAGGAAACCGGGCGGGGCAATCGCCTGCAAATTATGCAAGGCTAGATCCGCCGGCTACCTACAACATCCTTAACCCTTAACCCTTAATGATTCGTCCTTAAGCCAATTCAAACGCGCAAGCCACCAAGACCAAGGTGATCGCAGTTAGCAGATTGTGATGCATTTGAATTTTCAATCAATGAATGCTAGCTGCAAGAGAAAGTCCGAACGCCATTCACAAGCCAAGCTTGTAACATGTCTTTCTGGGTTCTTAAGTGGCGACAGCTTACAGAGCATAAATATACAGTTCATTATTTTCGCGCTCGCTGATATCAGACCAAACTATACATACGTGGTCTAACTATACATATGTGGTATAATTTTGGGCTCTCTATGCCATGACAAAAATTTTTAAGGGGGGGGGGGCACAGGCTTTATTTATTACCTCTTGCCTTGGTTAAGCCACTGTAGTGAGGCGTGACGTTGTATTTTCATTTTAGAAAATAACACGCACTCATGCGCTCGCACCTGGGCCAGGCCATGTGAGTTACTGGTTCAACGGAAGTAAATAGTCACAAATCATGCCAAAGAGAAGATCGCATGTGCGAGGAATACATGTTTTCGTTGTGATCGAGAGCACAATTAAACAAAAAGTCTAAAAGTAATCCAGCAATACCCACCGCTTGCTGGATGACAAACTGTAGAGTAGTCGCATCATGCGCAGGTCTAAAATGACAGACATTCCCGTCAGCTACGCTCAATGAAAAAAGAGAGCACAGCAATTTTATCTTCTGTTTCATTTATAACACAGTGCACTGGACTTCAAACCAGGCGAGTTGACATGCGGAGACGTAGGCACTTAAGCTGCGGCAAATTCGTAACGATTCATTTGAGAATTTCGTACAGCCGCGTACTAGTCGCCTCAACCGGTCGACACAATGGCGCTTGGGAAATATGTGCTTTTTGAAGTTACAGAAGTGCTGTTCTACATTATGACATAAACTGTCACTAAGTCACTGAGACGTTAGCTACCTAAAGAAACGTTTGAAATTGTATACCTATTCCCCAATTTCGAGTATGTTTTATAGTTTATAATGCATTTACATTATGCACATCTGTGGAAAGACAGGTTTTCCAATAAGTAGACGTGTTAGACACACAATTACGTGCAAAAAAAAAAAGAACGACTGAACCGTAGTGGAGCGAGAACAAAAGAAAGGCATACTATGCTTTTTTGCTTGTATGTTCACTCAGTCCAGTTGTTTCAAGCAATAAATTCAGTCTACGACAATAGTTAGGCACTTGGACTTGCGCGGTGCCAAATGACGGTGTTTCTCGATGAGTACTCGCCAGCTGAAGTTGACGCTCGTTCTTAACTGCTGATTTTCTTTTTGAATAATTTATTCCGCTTGATTTCCTCTTACAAATAGTCTTCATTAGAACCCAGCAGAATATTCTGTCTCAGCAAAAAAAAACCTGCTGGCTCGTACAAGGACTTTACGAACCCACGAGATAGCATCCTGTTGGTAAAGCAGAACATACAGGTGTGCTAGTAGCTAAACAAAAATTATTCATTCCGTGGCGTTACCGTCAGAAAGGTTGACGGCCATAGCCCCCGTTATGACGGCTAAATAAGTGTGCATTAGTTAAACCTGAATAGAAGTCCAGTTAACTGAACAATCACTAGAAAGCTGCAGTGGAACTGCCACGTAGAGGCATTGCTCTAGACAACAGGAGAGCAAAATCTAACTGTGCGACGACGACGGAGGCAAGGACGTCCCGACGGAACGAATATTTGGTAACGTGAGTTGCTCTTGAATTTTACAACAGAGATATTTTGGTGGCCTAATCGAAACATTCTTGTCTCACATAAAGGGCTCAAGTGAAATAATGTCAAGGCATTATAGTACCCAACGTGTCATTTGCTTAGTTCGAGAAATTTCTCTAAAAACTGTATCAAACATGCAGCTTAACACCACCTGTTCCGGTGGGAAATACGAAGCGATAGGTACTACTTTATCGACAAATCACTATTTGTAAGCAGTCATAAATTCACAGGCAACTAAGCAAAAATAACGCATAACTAAAATTCTATTCGAACAGTTAGTCAGCTTTCTCACCTGTCAGTTTGAAGACGAGCTGTAATATCAGCATCGTATAAACCGTACCCGTAATATATTTACTAAAATGGTTATATAACTTCACTACACAATTTCTTCTAGAGAATCCTTAACTGAAGTACTCCAAGGCGCTACTCATTAACGCAGCCGAGAGCCTATTTCTAATTCATTTTCAGAACAGCGCCATCTATAGTCTCGGCCAAATGCCGTAAATTTGTTGTAATATAAAACCCATGAGCCCTCCTCATCAAAGTAGATGCCATATAAGACAAAAAGCTTCAGCATTAAAGAAAGCATAGTTGCAGTCCAATAATATCTGTAGTAGCTATAGCGTGCCGAATTGGAGGAGAAGGTTGTTACTCGAGTCGTGGCACATACAAAGTACAGCTCATAACATCAACCGTTCTCTCGGAACCCTTCCCCCAGTGTATACACATGGACTGCGCTTCACGGCAAAACGAGAGAGAGAGAGAGAGAGAGAGAGAGAGGGGTCATTATCAACCCCGCGAGTGCTTCGAAGGCGCCGCTGCTACATAGCCTCCACAGTCACCCCTGAGGAAGGAACCAAGTCGGTTTCGAAACGTCGGGTTTCTTCAAAACTTTTGGTTGGAGTCTAAATCATCTCCCAGTTTCCCATCTCCCAGACAGACTTCTGTCGAATGTTTACATTCAAGATATAGGCAAGTATTCTTTATGTCCGGTTAAACAAGTACGGGAGATTCACTGTGCTTACATGAATCACACAGATGGAATCATGCAATAGTTTATTTACTTCTGTACTATCTGCGATAAAGCGTTAGTCGTGAAAGTTTTACATATTTCTATTTTTATGTGCTCACGTGCTGCCACTTCACCGCGGAAAGTAGCTTCGATAGCATGACCGTAGCTTTGAAGATGGTATAGCCATCTACACCCCGTTACCATATATCATCATGTCATTTTGTTATACGAAATCACGTCAGTCGTTCAATTTTGACCAAGTAGGTGGAGGGGGGGGGGGTGCTGTGAAACTTCTCCCCATAACGGATGCCTATATCTTGTGACTTTTCCATAGACGTTATCGCTTAATATCTACATCTAGCTCAACCTTCTTCTTTTTTTTTAGCAGCACTTGAGGAAATGGCCCTCTGGGACGACAGTACACCACGGTACCACGCTGCCGTACTCTGGCTCGTGCAGCTGGGTTCCGTTCCCAGTCCCGTGGCCATTATGCCAGACGGTAGCCGGCGGTTTGCACGGCGAACCGGCGCGGACCTTCGACGCACGTACGCCGTCGGAACGCAACTATTAAGTCTGGTAAGGAGAATAGCCTTCCCTTTCCGAGAAATGTGTGTGAGCAGGATTTTAAGAACGGTAGAGAAAGGGAAATAAATGAAAGAGGAAGACAGGGAGGTCGACCTCCCTGCCGTTTTCTTTGAGGGGAGCCACGTGAAGGGAGCCCATTGTACCATCATTATCTTGGTCGTGTTATTTCCCCTCTATCAGTTCTAATATTCCTCGTATTCCCCACTCCACGTGAAGGGAGCCAACCGAGACCAAGCTTTGTCTCGGTTGGCTTCGTTGACGTAGAATGCGGAATACGAGGAATATTATAAATGATAGAGAGGAAATAAGAGCAAGAGAAAAGAGGTACAGTTCGAACACGTACATGTTGAACTCGCACTGTTAGTTCACAGGCACTCGTGAAGTCCGGTAGTCTTCAAGTGGCACCATAAGGCTTTCGTAGCCTAGTGCATGTACGAAATCATGAACTATGGTCCCAAGGCTTTAAGAAGGTGCGCATTGCCCCAGCGGATAAATAGCTGGCGTTTGTCCTTCTCTTACTGTTGCCTCACATGCACCAAGTCAGCTCCACCCACGGATTTTTCTTGGCAGTGCAGGGACAGCGACGGGATGTATTCCGGTTTCGCACGCGTTTTGTGGTGCTGTGGAAGCTGATGGCTGGTGGGCGTCTTATACCACTTATATCGTCTGCTTACAGAGATGGTCAATTCTGGGTGAAGTTAGTCGCGAGCTTCTTACGCGATTAGACGAAAAGGCTAGAAGGCGATGGGTGCTCACCTGAATGTGTAGACACCATTTAAGATTTTAAGATATACGCAAACGATGCGACATTTTCACACACGCAAAAACATGAAATGAGTTCAAATGGTAATGTACAATGTTGAACTGATATCTCACTATGGCATGTTGCTGTTCATTTTCAAATAGCTTATTGAAAAAAAAATTTAAGTTATCTTTTATTGCTCACATTGAAAACAGGGACGCACGTGTAGGATTAGTTTCATTAGCGATAGCACTCGCACGATCTGGTTTGGTTGATAAAAACATTTATTAAGTGCCGTGCAGCATGGTGACTCGGACTCCGGTCTGCCACGTCTCGACGGCCAGACTTGGCCTTGTCGCCACTTCGCGAGATTGCTTGACGATTGAGGCTCGGTCGGTGAGCTCCGAGTTGGATGGGGCATTGACATACCTTGCCGAGAAAGCATCAGGGTTGCTTTTAGTGTTTGCTTCACATTCCCCGAGCATGTGTTTGGGTGTAGCAGGTTCTTAAATTTAGCCCTGTAACTTTCGCTTCACGGTCACGAAAAGTTGCCCGCCAGTACAGTACGAGCGCAGAAAAGCATTGCCACGCTTTTTTGGCGACCCTCTCTTCACATGTCCAGGCTTGTCGCTGGTGCTTCGAAGTGGGTGTCGGCCAAGTGACAGGTTTCATATTCGCATTGCGTCACCTACAGCGCAGTTATTTCGAAAAGACCGCCCTCATCTCTGGAGTCGTGGACAACTGGGTCAACAGCCTGTACACTCTGTGAGTCATGTAGAAAAGATGATATGCAGCATTATTTGGTACCCTTCCTTGTTCGTTCCATTTCTTTAAGTTCCAGCGCCATCCGTTGTCACGCAAGAAAAGTACTTTGTGAATGACACGTTTACAGACAAAATACGTGTTTGCTTACATGTTTACACATTAGGAATCCACTTCAAGCAGTTATAAAAGAAAGAGCTTTTTTTTCACAAAAAGCACGCAGTGATGCACCGGTGTTTCTTACCAGAACATGTCAATCACTGTTAATGGGCAGTGAGAGACAGAAAACTCTTATTGGACACAGAGACCAGCAGTCCACTTGTACTTAACGTGCATGCTGCAAACTTTTATTGTTCAACAATGCGTAGGAGAAATATCCCACTGGCACAAAACTATAGGCCAAAATTCATGAAGTTCCTATTATTACGGGGTGACCAGTGAGCGGTTGTGCAGCGCAAACAGTAATTTTTTTTTTTATGAAGAAACTCACTAGCACCCGCTGCCTTTGTTTGGCTTTTCGAAATGGGAGAGGGTGAAGCGTAAGAGAGGAAAGAGCGTGAGGACACGCGCATGCACCATGGTGGAGTAAATGCTGCGTGGAGCAATGCTTAGAGGAGAGAGAGGCGGGGAGCGAGCGTAAGTTAGCAGATGCTCCCCGTGTCAATGTTTGGAGGCGAGAGAGGGGACAGCGTAGGAGAGGAGAGAGGGAGAGCAGACGCGCCTGCGCAGTAAGGGTGGTCACGCCACTCACCGGATTAAGCTCGACCCTGAACTGCTTCGCATCTAAAAGAAATACTGCGGCAGCATTGGTTGATGTCAAGTTTGGTGATTCAGCACCAAAACAAGTGTTCGGAAGCAACCCGAGTTCTACGCACTCCACAAGGATACAGTGCGTAGTACTATATATTCCCTCGTAAGAAAAGAGTGTTTTAAATATAATTTGTGACTAAGTAATTTTTGTCGCACATGTTGCATAAATTTCTTCGAATTGCGTGCACTTACACAACTGCGAATTGATAAAACGGAAATGACTGAATACCTAAATTCCTTCTAACGATGACCGTGCAGCAAGTATATAAAGCAAGAATGTCACTCTTCCAACAGTTACTGTTATTGCCGATTATTAGCTACAGCGTTTCCTTTCTTTGGGCGGATAAATGCTGCAGATAGCCTCTTTAGTACAACACAAGCACACGACGGTATCTTAGTGCACACAAGCGTTCTTGCATTCTATTCCTACCGTAAAGTGGACAACCGCAGCTAGGAATCGAACACGCTACCTTGTGGCCAGCTACAAACCGCTGAGGCCAATGAGTCACCACAAAGAGTACTTGTGAACACGAGTCTGGGTGGACCTTGTTTGACTCCAATATTTATACCAAAGGGGTAAGCTCGACTTTGTAATCGTGTGACTATTTCCATTTTGCAATACTGATCTATTCATCTCGTTATTACAGAGATCTGGTTGATAGCCTTGGTATGCGGATGACGTGTGTGGGTCAAACGGAAGCCCTTCCAATCGAGCTGCAAATTAAACTGGCTGATCTGGAAACGGCTACCTCACTTGGCAGAAGGTGTGTATCACTATAACTTCATTTCGTTTTTTTTTTCGTTTACTGGAACTGTAGCATCAGTATCAGCCATAGCACCACCCGCGTGTTGCATTTGCATGTGCACATCTCTACGTCAAGTTTCATTGCGTGTGCTCACAGAACTATCTAACCAGAGTTTCCGCAGTTCCCTAGTTTTTTCTTAAGATTTTGCAAACTAAATCTTTGAATCGAGGCTTTGAAATATACTGAGGTGAATTAAAATTTTGGGGTCCACCGCTTGCGTATCTGGAACACGTTTATTGGTGTATATATGCCATCTAAATATAGTGTAGCGAAAGGGTATCGAGCTAATTCTTTGCGCTCGTGGACTACTTTTTGTAACAGTTGAGACTGCCAATTTTTTTGACAGGATATTTGCCAACACTCGATTTGAACACATGCATTTGTTGCAAATTATACAATGCAATGTTCGTCGGTGTACCTTGTAATTTAGCACTAATTAGGTAGACTCAAGGGTGAGGTGTAACGTTTAAAGTACGCAAGTTCCACCGCCAATTATGACACCACCACCCCTCTCCGATATATATTAATGCGTATGTTTTTTTTTTTCAGAAGGCACACTTGCCTAATATGCACTGGATACAGCAGTAGGTAACCAGATGATGTCAACGAACGAGCGCTAAATATGGGCGCACCACCAAGTTTGATGAAAGAAAGGACGACCTTGACGCGTACCTTCACAGATTTGAGACGATTGCAAGGAGCCAGAATTGGCCGGAACATCAATGGGCAACTGCTTTGAGTACTTGCTTGAGTGGTGAAGCGCTCAGTGTGTACGGTAGGCTGACGCCGACCGATGCAGCCAACTATGCAAAGGTGAAAGCTGCTTTGCTGAAGCGATTTAGATTTAGTGGAAGGATTCCGGGACAGATTTCGGACAGGAAAGCCAGCTGATGGTGAGACGGCTACGCAGTATGCCGCCCGACTTTGCCATTATTTCGACAGATGGATTGAACTTTCAGGGACAGCGCAGGAGTACGATGAGCTTAGAGAGCTCCTAATTAGAGAACAATTTCTTACTAGTTGCCACCCAAGCCTGTCGCTGTACTTGAAAGAGGGGAAGGCTGAGTCACTTGAAGGAATGCTTGAATTGGCTGATCAATTTTTGGAAGCGCAAGGTGGAACTAATTTGGCTAAGGTCAAGAAGGAGTGTCCCGAAGATTCGAAAAATTCGGCACCCGAACAAAAGAAGCGTGCACCGGAGAGTGTTCCGCGATGTTTTCTGTGTAACCGAGTGGGTCATCGCGCCAGCAACTGTCGTACTAACTTTACAAGCCCTACGGTAGTAAAATGTTTTAAGTGTGGTCAGATTGGGCACAAAGCAGACGCATGTCGTAACGGAGCGAGTCAAACTCACCAGGTATCCTGTGTGCTAGCAGCACCGAAATCCGATGATAATGCCGTCACCGACGGATTCGTAGAATTGAAAAATGGGGAAAGAATTCCTATTGTGGGTGCTGTGGTGACAAAACAGCAAAGAGGTGCTAGGAAGGGAATGCCTGTGATGCCTGGAAAAGTTGCGGGCAAGAAGGTTATGGTGTTAAGAGATACCGGTAGCTCCACGGTTATCGTGCGGAGAAATTTGGTACGGGAAAGTGAGTTAACAGGCAAAACGAAACCAGTTTGCCTAATTGACCGTACGGTTCGGATGCTTCCCGAAGCAGAGATTGAGGTGGAAACCCCGTACTTCAGCGGGAAGGTTACCGCTCTATGTATGACGACCCCCCTTTACGACCTTGTCATCGGAAACATCGACGGGGCGCGAGGACCGAATGATCCGGAATGTTCGGGAGAAGACCCTAAGATAGAGCCCTCGCCAACCCAGCGACCGCGAGATACAGTGGAGGAGCATCCCGTGACGGATCTCACTAGAGCCCAAGGTGAAGCCGCGGCGCAAGAGACAGCGAATGAGAAGATGATCGAGTTGAATGAGTTCACGTGCTGGGCAGCTGGACGCACGTCGGCACGTCCTCAACCGACAGACAGCGTAAAGGTGACGGAGTCGGCCAGCCAGGTCCAATGTCGTGACATGAACAAGCGGGTGACAGGATCGTTTTAGCGTTTAACACCCGTTAACAGTGTCAGAAGTGACAACGATGGCTGAGACGCCGCCTCAGACCCCGTCGTTGAAAAAGGCTCGCCGAAAAAGAACAAGGAAAAACAAGAAGAGATCGAGCGAGCACCGCAAGAAAGGACGCAAGCGCAGCTCGAAATACACAGGATAGGTGCTGAGGTGGAATCGGAATGTGTTTGGCAGGGCTGAGTGACATATGTTGTGTTAATGTTCTTGTTATCCTGTGTCACAAGTGTATGTCGAGCGAGTCAAAGTGTTCTGTGCGATGATATGATGTATAGTGTTGTATAATTGTTGTAAAGACAGAACTTTGTACGTTTGTATTGTTTGGAATGTGTGATGAAGTGTTGTAGTCATGTACCTGTGGCTATATTTCTTGTGTTGTGGAATTGAACTACAATGTACGATTGTATTGAGCGATCTATTGTGAATGTGAAGTGTCATGAGCGACGGTTTGTGTTACAGTCTTACAGAGTGTGTGGTGACTGTTCGCGCTCGTTTGTGTGGTTTTGAATATTATGAGATAATATTCTTAAAGTGGGGGGCAGTGTCACGGAACTAGCGCTAAAAATGGGCGCACCGCCAAATTCTTGCGATAACGCGTGGGAGAGACGCCGCGAGGTCAAAAGAAAAAAAAAGAAAACAAACATCCAAGGCTCCCCGGGCGCGCGCTCTCCCCTCGGAAGCGTGGCTTCGCCGACGAACCTCCTCACCCCACATCGGCGGCCGAGCAAGCACTCGAAATTTCTAGAAGGAAAGAGGCGTGGTCATGCCGAGTTGAGTCATCCGACGTGGAGGGCATTCGAACCGTCTCGCCCTCTCCCCAGCCTTCGCTGCGTATCGCGCCGACGTAATGACGAGAACCTTCTGGAATCTCGCGCGGGAGGTGTTTAATCGAGCGGCCGAGACGAGAGAGCAGGAGAAGACGGAAGTTAGTGCCAGAGCGCGTAGGGATTCCGCCGTGTAGTCGGCGAAGGTTGTGTCCGTAGAGACAAAGCAGGAGAAGAAGATGATTTCCACCTGAGGGGTGACGACTCGAGCTACAGGCAAGAGTGTGTGTTTACCGCTATCGAGCGAAGACGCATGGCAACAGCTGCGTGTGTGAAGCCGACGTGTTTCCGGCGAAGCAGTTTGAAGCTTGGAGAGTGGCCTATTGAAGACGTGAGGTTTTCTGGAAGAGAAACTTGGGGGCCGCGAAACGACAACAACGCTGGACTTTGAGTGAGTGATTCTCGGAAGAGTATCATCCAGACTTTTGTTCCAAGAACTTTGGACTGAATAGGTTTCCTATCTCTTTAGTCTTTAAGTGTCTTGGTTGTTCAATGCATGCGACTGCATTGTAGTGCGTATTGTTGTCTGTGTCCGTTGTTTCGAGTGTGGCTGATTGTACTGTGTAGTACGTTGTTTGATTGGTGACATATTGTATGCAACTATTCTGGAGTGTACATGCTTGTGTATTGGTTTCGATCTGCCATTATTGAGAATATAATTCTGTTTTGTTTATCAACCCTCGGCTCTGACTTGTTCTTTGGGCCACAGCCGGCGTCCGCTGGCGCGCCAAACAGGACCACTTCTAAATTGTCCACGCTTTCGTGGTGCGGTTCGGGGGGCCGATACTTCGGCCCTTGGAATTAGCCCGGCGATCGCCTCCCTAATTAACGGGACCTGTGAGAGATGACTCGCGCTGCTTTTCATCTTGCTAAAGCCGTGAAAGCAGCCGCCATTACGGCAGAGTAAGTAGCCTTACCTGGAAGAAACATTTCAGTTGTGTAATGCCCTTACCTACATGTATTCTTAGAAATAGTTTGCAATCACACTTGATCATCTAATTCTAGGAAATCTTTGATCATGCATTGGTACGCCAGTGACAGATAAAATTGCAACACTCTGTTACTTCGAAGCTTTAGAACCATGGCGTCATCAGCTAAAACATTCACCAACGCGTGTATTATTGCTTAGGTTTGGTGGTAAAAAGACTACGCCCATTTCATAGTTCACTACCCCCGACTGATGTCGCTTACGCTGTTCTTTCAGATAGTGAGCGCAGAGTGAGACATTTATTGACAATTGAGGTAGCTTCTAAAACAGACGCATAGCTCGCTTCTATATTTTTCAAAATTTCGTACTCGTGTTTTCCGCTAACCTATACCACGAATTCCTCTTGGTCGGTATCCTTTACAATAAGATTGAGTTCAGATATACTAATGAAGAGATTTTACAGCTAAAATGAATCCAGTCGTACAGATGACTCTTCACCAAAGACCTCGATGCTTCAATGCACTTCCTGCATATCATGTTGAGAAGCTAACTACAATCCCCCGTATTACCGCACACTCTCGTGACTATTTCATCGAGAATTCAGGCAAACAAGGAATTCCTAAAATGTCTATGGAACAAAGGATTGCACGAGCGGCCCTGTAGACTGTGATGCCGTATATTACACGAGACTGCCGCTCCGCGCTGTGCTGTTATGTGTGTGCCCCTCCCCCCTCTTTCTCTCTTTTTTACTCTTCTTTCAACCTCCCCATCTTTTCCCCTGTGCAAGGTTGCATAGCGGCTGTGTCAAACTGGTTAACACCCATGCCTTTCTCCTCACTCCTTTTCCTTCTTGTCTTCTTTCCTCGTGCCTGTCAGCCCTATAATGTTTCAGTCACCAACTGAGCGATCATAACGTTTTCATAGAAGAAAAGGACATCAAAACACAATTCTATTTCTTTTGTTTTTGTCTTGGACGTTGTCTGTCAAATTCTTTGCCGATCCTTAATGGCGCTAAGCCATTTAGTAACGAGCGAATAAATGGTATCTGTCCCAAAATTGAATTTTGTACTAGCTTCTTCACGCAAAATCAGGTAGTCCTACCTATCATATATCTAGTGACTATGCCGACAAGAGGCTGTAACGACAAAACTTATTTGAATAAAATTTACATAAGTTTCATTATATAGCATTCTGGCAATCATCAGTATATATTCTTTTGTTACAGCATGAACCTTTAGAAAATATGATCATGCACAGAGTTACGCATGGCTCAATTTCAAACAGGGATGTCACAGCTGAACTGGTGGATGCCTATATCGCCCACACTGAATGCCCCGACGTGGACATGTTGATGCGCTTTGCCGGGTCGAAGCTCAGTGACTTTATGATCATGCAATGTAGCTACGCATACCTGCACATAGCTCCAAAGACTTGGCCGGACGTCGACTTTTGGGAGTGGATCTACGCACTCGTTATGTACCAACTACACAGATCGGATATCTCGGTAAGATAGCTTTTCTACCTAAAGAAAAAAACACCATTCTCAAATTCTTTTTGACTAACTGAACATGCAGTTACAATAATAGTATCTGGAGAAGTACGTCCCAAAACCCTGATATGCTTACTAGAGACGCCGTAGTGGAAGGGCTCCTGCAATATTGACGATCTGGTGTTTTTAACATGCACTGACATCGTACGGACCTCAATCATTTCATCTCCACCGAAATGTGACCGCCGCTGCCGAGATCGAACCTGTGGCATTCAGATCAGCATCAGAGCACCTAAGCTACTCATCCACCATGGCATACGCAGTTACAATGAAGGATATACAATGATTACAAACCAACTACATTTCCTTCGGTAGTCTATCCAATGACATCAACTGCTAAATGCATGCCGCTCCTGAAAATACACGCTTTTAATGCTATGCTGGTGGTGTTGTCGTTACGCATGTAATTCGCTGCCTCGCAAACATACTCGCTATAAGGAAGGAAAATAGGAGGAAAAGAACGGCGGGAAGGTTAACAAGTCTATAGGCAGCCGGTTTGCTACCCTGCGCATGGGAGGGGGACGGGGGAGATGATAGATAGAGAGGAGAGAGGGAAGAGAAATAAACACAGCACATTAAGCAGCACACTCGCACACACTCAGTCATAGTACTCGCTTTAAATTCTCAAAACAAGGTAGAGAGACTGAATTGAAATAACAGCTTGCTTATGAGTTATTTTCATTGCACAAACTATGCATTCAAGTCAGATTAAACTATTTCTTAGCGTAATCTCTGAAGACTGCTAAAAAAATGTGCCAACCGTCTGTCATAAAATTTCATCAGAAAGGAAGTATGAATCTAGTGTACTATGTGTCTCTCTTGACCATTTTTTCTATATTTACTAAGCTTGTTCACCTGGCCTTTTTTTTTCTTTGCTTCTCTCCGTCAACAGAAGGTGAAGGAAAAACATGATGCTCTAAAGGCAATACGGCAGGACTCGACAAATTCTGGATTTCCGCTACGTCAACAAACCTTCCTGGAAGGTGTCAAAGCTGCCCTCAGTAATGAACTCACCCGCCTAGAGACAGGCCCGAACAAGTAGATGCGAATAAAGAACACGGTGAGCACCTCATGTCTTTCTTTCATTTTTTTTTACGCAAAACATCTCTTGCTCTGGTCTATGTCCCGCGGTGTCGGCGTCCGCACACACTACGCATGCGCAACTTCTTTCCTCTCCCACGCTCCCCGTCTCGCCTCACAACGTCGACGCAGGGAGCGTCTGCTAGCGAGTTTCTTGATTGAAAAAATTGTCAGATCCCATGTACAGTGGAAATCGATGTTATGCGAAGCACGAATGAGGAAGGTTGATCTGTTACTTTGAAACCAGCACAACGTTAAAAGGCGGAGGTAAATTATATCGTTCATGACTTACATGTCATCATTATAATGTTTGGACGTCTCATTTACCTTCGTCGTCTATTTACGCCCCGTGATACCAAATTTGGTATATGTGGAGCTAGCGAAATGGCCGTGAGCACATCATGAGCGTGGTATGCTGTCATGTTCTTACATGACACGCGTGTCATGATTGTCATGTTAGCACCAGTCATATGTCTACGTCATCCATTGACGTCACGTAACACCAAGTTTGGTATATGTGGAGCTATAGCTAAACGGCCGCGAGCGCATCATGAATGGCCCAATATACTCCGACGTAACATTGACACGCACGCACGCTGGGTGCAACGACGCTACGCTAGCAAAACGCGAGCACTGCCTGACGCCAGACGTGACCGACGCGACCAGCGTCCGTCGGCGCGGCCCTGCGGCAACCGGCGCGAAACATGCTGCGTTTCGCGCCGATAACGTAACTCAGACAGCACTGCGTCTGCCTCTCTTCGTGATGGAGGGACGCCGGGCGCGCTCAAACGCGCATGCGTCAAAGCAACGCAGCGCGGCGCGCGCCTACGAGTATAAGGCAGGCGGATCGGCGCCTGGCTTGGGTGGCACCACCGGTATGACGCGATGAATGATTGATTTGTGGGGTTTAACTTCCCAAAACCACCATATGAATATGAGAGACGCCGTAATGGGGGCTCCGGAAATTTTGACCACCTGGGGTTCTTTAACGTGCACCCAAACCTGAGCACACGGGCCTACGACGTTTCCGCCTCCATCGGAAATGCAGCCGCCGCAGCCGGGATTTGAACCCGTGACCTGCGGGTCAGCAGCCGAGTACCTTAGCCACTAGACCACCGCGGCGGGGCATGACGCGATGAAACGAACGGTGGTACGCAAGCGCACCGGGCCACGTCGAAGTGTATTGGCGCCTTGAGTGTTTCATGTAGTCATGTTCTTACATGACACGCATCTTATTATTATCATGTTTCCACCAGTCACATACCTTCATCATCCATTGGCGCCACGTAATACCAAATTTGGCATATGTGAAGCTAGCGAAACGGCCGCGAGCGCTTCATGAGCGAGGCGCGTAGTCATGACTCATGACTTACATAGCATACGTGTCATGATTTTCATGTTAGTCTGTCACTTGTGTTCGCCATGCAGTCATGTCATACCATACCAGTTTTTCAACATGCCATGTGAACGAAACCGCCGTAATAGCAGCAAGACCATGGAATGTAAATCATGACATTCATAGCATACATGTCATGACAATCATGTTATGACCAGTTAATTCTGCGCTTCATACAGTCATGTTACTCCATACCAAATTTCGTGTCGACGCCATTAACTAAACAGACAGGAGAGCTAAAAGTCGTCGTCGGCTATCTAGATAGATAGATAGATAGATAGATAGATAGATAGATAGATAGATAGATAGATAGATAGATAGATAGATAGATAGATAGATAGATAGATAGATAGATAGATACGCTCGAAGTCACCGAAGTTCGCTAAGAAATGCTTCGAGCTTCAAAACCAAATGCTCGCGCTGCAAAACCGCTCCCTGGCCACCTCGTATATATAGTCACTGGATCTTGACCTCCAAGGTAGTGCCGGTGGGACATTTCTCCTGTGCGTTGTTAAACAATACGATTTTGCAGCGTGCGCGTTGACTAAAAGTGGACTGCGGGTCTTTGTGTCCAATCGGAGTATTCTGTCTCCCATTGCCCATTAGCAGCGATTGGCATATTCCAGTAGGAAGGCCCGGTCCATAACTGCGTCATTTGCATCTTCCCAGGTTTCTCTCCTGTGCAACGCCACCATCAGTGACGTCACCACAACGTAAGCGTTAGTGCTCACTGCTTCGCATCTCCACACGGTTCTCTTTTACGGGAGACGGCGTAATTTTTTAGAGGCACGGGCACCAAGTGACACTACTGTTTTTCTTCCAAGCACTTCCAGTCAAACACTTCCGCTTTACCGAGTATTCAGAAACATTCTTCTAAAAACAGAACTGCCACTGAATCCAAGGTTCTATTTCAAGTCAAGAGTAATATTGGATACCTACTATACGTGAACATAACCTTACTTAAAATAAGGGTGTATATAAATGTCAGAATAACTAATAAAAATAAACTGAATGAGTTTTTAGAGGCGAAGCAACTCGTTGACTAGCCTGCGTAACGCCATCTGTCCGTGCACTGTGCGGACGCGCCGCAATGCGCTCTCCTTGTCTCAGGAGTTAGAGTGGTGCCAAGTAGATCACACTGAAGCTACGCGTTGAGGTGAAGTGAAGTGAAATTAACTTTATTAGGTCCTGGATAACTGGTCAGACACCCCCCTAAGAGGTGTCCGCCACAGTTTCTGGCCACGTCCACGCCGGGACTGGAAGACCGTGGCCCTCCGCCCGTTCGCAGGCGTCCTGGACTGCCGAGTATTGGACTGAAAGCTCGGGTCGCGCTCCCTTCGCAGTGCGCGCTGAGGTCACTCTCTTCCTCGCCTGCCAGGCGCTCGCCGCAGCACCCGCAGCTGCGGCCTCGTTCGTTCAGCCGCAACACCTGCCGCTACCACCACTCACTACACTGCCACGTAACGTGCACTCGCTGAAGTGCGTGTCGGTAGAACGGAAACTACCCACCACGACAAGGGGAACGTGCATCGATCTGGTCTTTGTCAACTTCGATGTCGAATATCTGCAAGAACCTCTCAGTGTGTACTTCACCGATCACAAGGCCGTGGTAGTCAAGGCGAAGCGCGCGCCAGCTCCGGTCCAGCGCCCGTGCGCACTCAGAAGAAACGACAAGACCTACACCAGTCATCGCTTCAAACGAATCTTCCAGCACTCACCGCAGCACCCCCGATAGCACCGTTCAACTCGTGACGCCACCCGTGAGCAACTCTTCTGCTTCGCATCCCATTGAGGTTTAATTTCACACCATCTTCGCTTCCGACAGATGGTGTGAACTTTTGTGAGCAGTTAGGATCGCTGTGGCACCTGGCGGAGCAGGTTTCAAGCACGCACCTCTTTCAGCCTGGCCGCCGAGACCTGCTTTTCCGGTGGGAATTAACACAGAGTTGACCCAAGGAACACACCAGAGCACACAAACGCAGAAAAGCAAGGGCCACAACTGGAAACCCCAAATTCAAGAGTCGAAATTTTTTATGCTTTCATGCTCGAATTTCATTGTTCTTGGCATACGTGCAAAAATATGGGATGCATCATTTTAATTTGTCGCAAATACCACAAGTGCTATTCTTCTCAAGTTTTCTACTCAGAATAAACAAATGCAATTTTGTTGCTTTTGCGACAAAGACTCGAGCCCATACGAATACGTAGAACGTTTGCAACGTTAACTAATACCTTCGAAAATTAGTTTCTCGCTGCCCGCTAATGAAAAGAGCCGCGAGTGATTGCCGTTAGTAAATGTCTTGTCGTGCGCGCCACATAAATATACATGAATGCGAAATTCGACAAGAGTATCAGTATTGGCTCGTGAGCGAAGAGAGCAAGGAAGCGCACTCAGACATGTCATAGACCTAACTCGTTGAAACACGTGCTTGTAGATTGTAGAATGTGATGTTTTGGATAGTCTATACCAGGGTTTTCCAAATCACTTCCCCCAATAGGCCGAAGCCACGCAGCAGTTAGTGCACAGTTCGCTTTAGTGCAGAACGTAACAGCAGGGGGGAGGGTGGAGTGACTGTATGTATAAATTGCTGGGAAACGTTATTTCAAAAAAAAAAAACCTTTCACATCAATACTATACTGATCATTTTCGAAAAACGTTTGGTGCCAGAATTCCAACAGTATTACGATACCGATCTCCAAAATGACTGTATATGGATTCCGATATTGCAATACAGTTTTTGTTTCACGCCTATGTATCAGCACATAGTGATTACACGAAGCACCTCACAAAAACAATGCTTTATATCACTGATGCCTGCGTAGCTCATGAACATTCTTATTATTAAAATTTAAGAACTGTGGGGTGAGAACAGTCATGTGTCGGCCGCAAGCGAGAACCTCGCGCACCTTGTGTTTGAGACCCCTGGTCTGCAAGGTTTCGTCTCACCATGACTGTCAGCGTCACTGCCAAAGACAGGGCCATTAGATGGCACCTGCTTGACGGCCGCTTGATATATATATATATATATATATATATATATATATATATATATATATATATATATATATATATATATATATATCTTTTTTCGTGTTTTGACACAATATTACGGATAATTTCCCCTATACGTTCCTTGGCATTGTTGTCAGTTGGATCTTATTATACATTATATATATATATATATATATATATATATATATATATATATATATATCAGCGCCACCAGCAGCCATGGCGGCGAGTGTGGTACACGCTTTATGAGCCTGTTTGGCGTCACGTTGCACGTGAAATTAATGCGAGCTGGCAGCTGACCAATAGTCCTTCGTATACAACCTAAAGGCACCAACTCTTCCAGTACGAGACCCTCGTTAATGAATAAGGAAAGAAGTGTACACTTAAGGGCTCTATTTTCTGTTTGACAAAATAATAATGAAATCTAACAGACATTATAGTTTAATCTAATAACTTTGCCTATACTTTTCTTGGCATTATTTTCTCTTAGATCTCTATATTATTGTGTCAAGCACAGAAAAATTAGCCTGTAAGTATGCACTTGTTCACTTCTTTCATATATATATATATATATATATATATATATATATATATATATATATATATATATATATATATATATAGGACGATTCACCTTCTACTCGGCCAATGTCCTCCACTGGGTTTGTGCCATGAGCGGAGGCCGGCACAAGAAGAGACGGGTGTTTCTATACTGTGTGTGTTTTCATTAATGTGTCTTAACTAATACGTATGGCGCAACATTGACAAACACTGATCTTCACTGAAGCCAACAGTGCGGGGATCTTATTTATTCTGGCTACAACATCCACTCTGGTTCATATAGCTATGTAGCCACGCGCCGAATTTTCCAGCGCGTGCCTGAGCTAGCAAATGAGCCGGGAGAAGAAGAGGAGACAGAAGAAGAGGACGGACTGGCGGCCAAGCTGTTGTGTTCCTGCGCCGTTCATGATCAGTCTTGGAACCTTCTGGATTGCAGTCGCGACGATCCCTTGCATGGCTTCTATTGTGTACTCGGGTAAGACCTCTTTGCGTTGCGATTAACTACAATATTAACCTTTGTAATGGATACCAGCGCTTTCTGCATCTTTTTTTCATCACGGGTGCCCTCGCGAGCCTCTTCTTAGGGAGCCAACGTAACACGGCTCAAACGTATAAATGCAGTGTGATGTTTTGCCTACAGAGTACGAGCAGTGTCTGCTTGTTCACAGCATTTTGGAATAATTTTATAAACGACATATGAAGGCCCTTCCTCCCTCAGTCTGCCATAGAAACATACTGAGTACGCAAGAGACCCAGTAGTGGTTGCTTTAGAGAACGAACATTTTATTATCTCCATTTAACGAGCCAAGCATCCATCAGATTGCTCTAAACATACAGTAAAATAGCTGTAATGTGCACATTGGTGAGAACTGACTTGGTTTTATTAACACGGCTTGTTAACATAGTTTGTTAACGTGGTTTTATTAACATGGCTAATTATTAACATGGCTTGGTATAAACCTTTAACCACGTACGCAGTCCCAACTCGATGCGGCGTCGCACAACCACCAGACACGTAGTTGGAACTGGTTTTAGCATACCCATACAGAATTCAGAAACAATTTGTAAAGAGGATGGTTCAGCCCTTCTCCCCCCCCTCCCCCAACCCCGGTTACGATACTGTACAGTTAGCTGTACGACACCTTCACCATCCCACACACCCCACAATAAAGGACGAGAACAGAGGACGGTCCGACAACATGGGCGCAACATGGTTGGTAACACCCACAGTATCGTCGTACCTCCCTCCATCGTCATCTTTTTTTTTATACAATTAAGATGTCTAACAGTAAGCACTAAGCCGAACTCAATTTCCTTTGTTCAGTTAAACGCCTTTGCAAAAAAAATGGCCCCGTATCTGCGCTTTTCACTTCGTAGAAAGACGATAATCTTGCCTCTGGATAGAATGAACAAAACGTTTATTTGATGTTCTGTGCGAGAAAATCAGTGAATTGTATTCTAAAGGCACAGCGTTAGAGTGTCTCCTTCCGTGCAGCGAAGGAGAACGAGTGCATCGAGGCACATTAGACACGAGTGCTATCTGGCAGTTATTTTCAAAAACAAAAAAAAAAGGCGTGCGCGCCAGTCTCGGAGGTGATAAGGTGCAGAACGCAAATGGACGGGCAGGTGTCACTATCATGTCGTCTTAGCAAAGCATTCGAAACACTTGCCTTTTTGAGCATAGCGTTGAATGTCAGCGCAGCGCGATAAACGCTAAGATCCTTTAAATTACTCATGTATGCCTTTTCTAGTATAAAGACACACCTACAAAATATTTACGTGTTATGGTGCCTCAAATATGCAAAATCATTGTTTTAATTGACAATTGCACGATTATGAACGCTGAAGCTTCAGCAATGTTGGTGGACGCTGCGGATGGGGCTGGTCGTTCAGGGTATATTGGTTAGTACCGTTTGGGGCATCGTTACGGCGGACAAACAGATAGGTGTACAGACAGACCAAAATTTTGTGTCGGAGTACCCCAAGAATGACTATCGTCTTTACAACGCCAGGCCCGCGCCGAAGGCGCAGCAGTCACAGCGAAGCTAGAAGAATGGCCTTTCAGAGCCATTTCTAAACCTGACACGCGTTTGCGCAGCTCGCGCTCTCAACGACTTCGTGCTGCACTACGAGCCGCTCTCGTACGAGCCCATCAGCGTCAGCAGCAGGCGCTGGAAACGCTCGGTTACGCAACGCCAGGCCTCACACAAAGTAGAACTGGCATTCAGGTCCCACAATAGGTAAGCGTGCGTTCAAACAGAACATTTCCGGCGCGCGCCACTGTGTAACTCTGCCATCTCCTCCGACGATATTGCAGGGAGTTCAGGCTGCGCCTCCAAAGAGACCGTTCCGCCTTCACCGAAGACTTCACCATCGAGACTCGCCGAGGCCCGAAATCAGAGAACCTGGATCATCTCTATTCTGGTGATGTCGTTGGTAAGCCGCTGCGTCCCAAATTGAGGTACAACTTTCACAAGGTCGCCCGACCAATGTGGTCACAAATGTTCAAGCACGCTGACGTCGTTCAGTGGTCTGCTTCAAGTAGTCGCATAGGCTTGCTTTGGCAGAATACTTGCTTTAGGATCAGTCATTCGCTGCTCTACTTAGCAACTGCGAGACTGCGAATTCCAGCGGATCACAAGCCACATGCACCGTTTTTGAAGAAATGTCAAGACAAATATAGGCGTCACATGGAATCGCTTTATTAAGTGATCAAACACTGTCTGTGCCGAGTTTCTAGATTGCGATTAACGTCTTTGAGCGACATTATCAGGCGAGCCGATCACGGTAGCGGAAGATAACAGAAAGTATCTGTGTGACATCTGTATACACTTTCATGATTGAAATCATGTACAGTGCTCGGTGATTGAAACGTGATAACCGGAGCACGTGGCTGCTGGCAGTGAAGGGGCTGGTGACGCAAAGAGCATTGGCAACGCAGGCTCACTACATACCGTAAACAGCCACTTATTCCGTGGTTCTAGGTGAAGTGAAATGAACGTTATTTGGTCCTGTAGAACTGGTCAGACACCCCCCTAAGAGGGATTAGCCGCTGTGGCTGGCCGCGTCGACGCCGGGACTGGAAGACCGTGTCCCTCCACCCGTTCGCAGGCCTCCTGGACTGCCGAGTATTAGACTGAAAACTCAAAGCTTTTAAGAGCCCTCTCCCAGTCTTGTTCTGGGCTGAACTTTGCGCCATGTAATGCCAGGGACTTCCAGGGCATGTGGGCGAGTGTGCAGTTATGTGCTTCACAAGTAGGGTATCCTGGAGTTATGCCATCAACAAAGTGGCTGAATGTGCTACGAGACGAGAATGAACCTGCCTCTAGCATCCGAAGAACCGATGACTGCGGTCGAGTGAGCTTAGAATGTAGAAGCGGGTACCTCCGCCTACACAACTGATAATGAGACGTAAGGTGCTAAGTGGATCTTTAAAGTTATCCGCAAACCCAATTCCGTACCCGCCCGGACCGTCGCGGCACGTGATTTCTCGCGCACAGATATGGGCAAGTTCATTGGCGTTGGGAAGAGTCGGATGCACTTCTGAGCCCATGTGGGCCGAAGAGCAGTTGATTGTGTGGTAGCCTACTACACCCCGGGAATTAAAAATAGTGGCAGCCTTCCTTAAGGTTGCCCCCGAGGCAAAGGCCGGGGCAGCAGCCCTGGAGTCAGGAAATTTCTCTGGACGCGAAGGGTCCGTCATCGCCAAGGCCATCGCTACCTGCTCTGCTACGGAGGCAGACGCTTTCCTCACGAAATCTTAGTTGAGTACGCGACCACGATGATCAACGACCACAGCCGCAAAACGATCGGAGCGGTCATACTGCGCCGCATCGAGCAAAGCTACACTGCCCGTGGACCTAGCGACGAAATCATGGAGAGACTTGGCTCGTGCCTTTCGCCGACCAACATTGTACTTCAGATGAACGTTACGCGGGAAGGGTGCCACCTCGCACGTGCCCTTCATTGTTTGTGACAAGAAGATCTGTTCTTCCCCTGCCGTATGACAATATCCCAGCGACTGTAGGAGACAATGCCCAGCTTTCGTGGAGGAGAGCCGCGCGACCTGAGCTAGTGTTTGTGCCTCGCTCACCTCCGAGAGGGTGTTATGCAGTGGTTCTAGGTGACGCCGACAGATATACGCTCATATGCCGCGCCGCGCCGCACGAAGCGGCTGCAGGCAGGCGGGTGGGCGTTACCAAGGATTGCAGCGTTCCGCTGGCACCACCGAGAACCGCACACCGAATGACTGTTTATCGAAAGCAGTTAGCGTGCGTCATGAGCGCCCACCCTTGCGGTCATCTTCACCGCTAGAAATCATGCGCTTCGAGTATTGCGTTTCAATCGCCAAGCACTGTACAAATGCACACATATACAACGAAGTGAGAAGGCAGCCGCCGACGTAGACAACTAAACAGAAAGCATGGTCCACATGACGCAGAAGAGGCGAGTCTGATCCACTCCGGAAGCAATGAAAAATTGTCTTTTCGGGCTCCTTTTATATCGCTACACCGTGTTATTCATGCCTGTCAATTAAATCAACAGTGAATTCTCCCTGTATATAGTTCCCTTCATTTAGTGTCTGTTGGAACCAAGCAGTGGCTAACAAAGAACGTGCTCCTACGTAACTCGTTATTGACTACAACGTCGCTACATGCCCCAAATGCTTTTGTGCAGGCGTGCCTGACAGCCGCGTGGTGGGATCCATCATCGGAGGCGTGTTCAGCGGCCGCATTTCGCTACCTCGCGAAGGCGAAGACTTCTACGTGGAGCGCGCCGGTCACTTCTTCCAGGACCCGCTGCCCCCTTTCCACTCGCTCATATACTCGGCGAATGACGTCAACTTCGCTGGAGGACGCTGCGGTCTACACGGCACCACGGTGGATGCTGTGGAACGAATTCGACGCCAATACCGACGGCATCGGTATCCGGTATTACCTCGTAGCCACACATTTTGAAACGCTATATATAATAAAATACATAATAAGCAGTAATGGTAAGGAAGGTATGGGAGATGTTAGTTGATTTGATTGATTAATATGTTGGGTCTAACGTCTCAAAACCACCATATGATTATGAGAGACGCCATAGTGGAGGGCTCCGAAAATTTCGACCACCTGCATCTGGGGTTCTTTAACGTGCACCCAAATCTGAGCACACGGGCCTACAACATTTCCACCTCCATCGGAAATTCAGCCGCCGCAGCCGGGATTTGATCCCGCAACCTGCGGCTCAGTAGCCGAGTACTCTAACCACTAGAGCACCGCGGCGGGGCGAGTATATATAGGAGATGTTAGTTTATCTAATTGGGCGAGTAGATAAGTTGCCGCTGGCAGGAACCAAACCTGCGTGCTTCGAATAACGCGTCGATGCTCTACCAACTTAGCTACAGCGGCTACTGTCAATAACATGCCCTATACTTTCCTTTGTATCATTATATATATGTACAAGGACACGTTGTGAGATTATTTAGGCCATTTAATAAATGTTCACATGAACAGCGTAGTTTCAACCCATTACCATACAGCAGCGCCGTCTGAAGCGTTCGCTACCAGACTTCGACCTAAAGGCTGCCTCAATGACCGATGCGGTTCGAATCAACGCTGCAACGGGCACCCACAGTCAAGCTCGGAACACTTCGAATTGGACGCCGTCAGGGCGCGCTGGGCTCGCGCCGCAGCTGGATCCGGTCCGAAAGACGTACGTCCAGCGCGTGTGCAACCTCGAGATCGCCGTGGATCACACGCTGTTCGAGGCAGTGTCCTCCTGGCAGGTAGGCGGGCCGGACAAGATCATCAGGGCCCGCCAGGAGTTGACCAGCATGGTGGCCAAGCACGTGAAAGCCGTGTCCGAGATCTTCGGAAGCACCAACTTCAACGGTCTCACGGGTATCGAGTTCGTGGTCCAACGCCTCGTGGTAAGAATGACCGTGGGACTTGGCCAATGTGCTTTCCGCTTTTGGTAACAAAAATACGTTACGTTAAGATTTCTTTAGCTTAAATGTGTACATTACGCGCATTCGTAGATTATGCGAAGGCTTTTGATATCATTAATCATTCAACCTTGCTGATAAAGCTAATTCATTATGGTGTTCGTAGAATGTTTCTAGAACTCTCACTTCTTGCCGAAAACATCGCCAACAACAGGTATGCGTTGACGAACACGCCTCAGATTTCAAGGTATTAGGTGCCGGTGTTCCGTCGGGCAGCATTCTATAGAGCCCCTTTTGTTCTCCCTGCATATAAACGACAAAGTCGGAATTGACAATTCCGCGCGATTCATAAAATACACGCAGATGACACCACTAAACTCTTTACTGCGCGAAATGCTGTTTGAAGTTTATTTTTACCACACAATTACACATCAACATTGAGTTTTTTTTTTATGATAAAGGATGCGGATCACACATTATCGATGCTTCCATCATGCAGTTCTGACAATCCTCTTAACCAAAATGTTAATAAAACAAAGGCAGTCTTGTTTAGACAAAAAACGCAAAATAGAAGCTTGGACTGGTTTATACTATGAAAATTCATATATATATGAATAGTGCCTTCTGCAAAGAGTCTCGGTGTTTTGCTTGGGAAACACTTGTCTTGGAATAAGCACACTGAACTAATCGCTGGCGAAATTTCATGGGTGTGCGGTATCTTGAATAGGTGCAAATACTATTTGCACCTATTTGGAGCCTGGTGAGTGGCCCTTTAAGGGCTGAACGCGGTATCAATGTCTTCACGCACGCACTTATGCCCACACACGCGCACTATCGTTTGCTTAGTCACTAGTGTGCCTTCGATTCTCACTTTTCGATGGATGCCTGAAGTGGGCAGCAAGAGAAAACGCATACGCCCTCCAGCTTCTATCTTTGTTTCGTCCATGTTTTTTCGCTCAGAACCAACGTTGCTTTCTTGCTCTATACCAATAACGGTTCCGCAGATGCCGCTGACACCAGAAATTCTGTGAAACGAGCTCTTTAACGCTATCGCGTTAATAAAATGGCAGAAGCAATGTTTTTTTCTCTGTATGGAAAATGGCAGCCGTTCAAAAACAGCCTTACCATACGCGTCTAATGTCGCGAAGTTCAGCTGGGACATAGTGAACTACTTGCCGCATCTTCAAATGCCTACAGAATTCTAAGGGTGCCGCATAGAATAGTCGTTCGTCCGAATCCTAAACGCACGGCCCCCAACTTCGCTAAGGTGATTTAAGGCACGCATAAAAAAAGGGAGGGGGGGGGCGCATGTTTGAGTGATCTAGAATTACAGCATTGCATATTCATCGATGCAACTGAAACGACGGACCTCCACAACTATTCCGTTGTTTGTTTCGCATGAGCGTGGGTCGGTATAGGTGCTTCCGTAGTTGATCGACACGCGGAATGCCGTAAACGCTACACTCGCTCAAACATGACGCCGCTTTTATTTTGTACCATTCGGCGTCATTCAATTCTATGACTAACATACAACCTCGCGAAGCAAGATTGTCCTCTTTTCTCTTCCAAGTAGATATATATATTTTGACAACTTTCAACAAAGCCCTGGTGAGGATGGAATGTGGCTTACGTGTTGCATATGGCTGCATTCGACAAATACACCATCTCTTGAGCACAAGGCTTATCCTCTACTGAGACATACCGTCCTTCGCGATGGAGCAGTAGTTTACGGCGCTCTGCTGCTCACCCAAAAGTATAGCGCGTTCGATTCCGGTTGCGGCGGTCACATTTTGATAGAAGCGACATGCTTGAGGCCCGTGTACTGTGCGAAGTTAGAAACACGGGCCTCTAGGACAGCAGACGGAGTCTCCACTGCGATGTCTCTCATAACCGCATCGTTGCTTTGAGACGTGAAATTCTATATCTTATTATCATAAGACATATCTGTGTAGCGCAGAGCAAGTAAACACGCGCGCGGTTTCTTTGGTCCTGTTATCTTTGCTCTTGCGGGCAGCCCTTACCGACATCATTAGGTTGGCAAGCTTTCTATCGTATACTTATGTCAAAACAACCCTGTATACATTAGGGGGCATTCACAAAATATTTAGAGGTACTGCTGACTATATTGCATTCATATGACACGAAGAGAGACCAAATACAATGTACACCTTCCTCGCAATATTCCCACGTGAGACTATATAATAAATTATCATTTACAACCTAAGACTAAACTGCAAACACCACCCACAGTAATTTTTGTCCCACCCAGAGAGAGAGAGACAACATCCAATAGCACTTGCTCGTTTCCGTGACGTCAATCACCACGTGCATAGTCTACCACCTCTGTGTAGAATGCCTCATGAGTATTAGGGCCGGCAGAACTGGGAACCTTTATTCTACGTCACGAAGGAAGATTTCGTTGTATGATGTGTAATTGTGGTGCTGACAAGTCAGCAATCTACTAAACACACTAAACACCATTTCCTACGACGGCTTCAGAAATGCGTAGGGGGATCCTTAAGGTGCAGTCATAAAAGAGCTGAACGTGATATAATAATCCTGTCCCAAGCGCGTACTTCAACCATTTAGTAGATACTCGTTATTGTATAATATTACTTGAGAAGTTTAAATTGTGCATTACTACAATGTAATCAATAAATTTGAAAGTGGCTTGTGTCAGTGAAGCTTTCGAATATAGCTGCATTTTGTGTAATTAGTTGCGTGTTTTAAACCACGAGCAGTTATGCGCCTGAAATGTTTTCAAACTTTATATGCACCCACCACGTGGTACCCTGTACAAATTTCAGCAAATATTCGCATGAAACTGGTAGGCCAGGCGTAATATTTTAGGTACGGACAACGAGCATGTAACTTGATATGCGTAGCATTAACATTGACAAAAACGAAAACCACCTAGCTGAACTCTCTTGCACAACTAAATGACCAATAGGCACGCCACAGGTCAGTGGGTAGAGCGTGTACTTACTTAGGCTGCCGCCAACTGTAGATAGTGCAATTTTTTTTTTTTTGAAAATCCACAGCGGTTCTCGGCGAGTGCATTTGTGCAGCTGGCTACCCTGTCACGCAGATCAACGACACTAGCGACTGCGAAGGGGCGGCCATGCTGACGAACCCCTTTTGCCCGGACAGCCTGGACGCTCCCCACGCGCTGCACGAGCTGTCGAAGATAAACCACGACGGTTTCTGCGCGTCGTACCTGTGGACCCACCGAGACTTTCCCGGAGGAACGCTGGGACTCGCCTACATGGCTGAACCTGATGGTGTGTAGCACGGCCTTTCGGTATCTGAGACACGGTTTGCTCTCACACACTGAAGGACCAGTTGAACGAGGAGTTGAAAATTTGGTGTGAGAAACGTACTTTCATACTTTTCAATCAAATGCAAACCTTCACTAGTTCAATGAACGATTCAGAAATTTCACTTTAATTATTCAACTCGTAATATCTTAATATCTTTTTTGTCATAATTTTTTTCGAAAAGATGTTCCCCGAGATTTAAGTACACGATAAATAACCTCATATAGTCGAGATTACCGGAGCCCTTTCCAACGTCGTTCCTCACAGTCAAATCGCGGTTTTCGGATGTAGGACCCCTACAAATGTTCAAAATTCTGCCCGACTTTCAAGCCCCAGTTAAGAGATAGTGATAAAACTTATTTACAATTTTGCGTTTGGGTTTACATCGAATTGTTCCAAATCATTAGAAATATTTATTGTCTCTGTAGTGAAATAATTGTAACTCCGCTAATCTCATTTCCCATAAACGCTTGCGCATGCAACTGCTGAAGGTCGTCAGAAGCGAAATAGAACGTATTCAAAGTGGCCAAAGTGTATCTGCAATTCAGATAGCGCCCCATTCATCTCTGCAAAGAACGCTCAATCATCGGGCCTTGCCTTTAGAAGGCAACACGTTGCGGTGTCTCCCATGGTATGCTGTTTGCCAGTTTCAATCTAATGTCGGTCGCGACAATGCGCGGCTTGATAGGCATGCAGACCTGCTATGGACGAGTAGCATTGTTAAAGAGGGCCCTTCTATAGGCAGATTTCTGCTCAGCTTCAGGGTGCCAGCGCCATCTCTATGCCAAAAATTGACGCGTTCGGCCTGGTGACACGCGTCGTCCTAAGATGCGCGGCTACATGAAAATGTGGCCTCGGGTAATGCGCACAGTCGGCAAACCAAATGCGATTTTCAAGATAATTTCTGGCTTGAAGCAGTGTGCGCCAATCTGCTTGTCTATTAGGCCACGCTCGCAACTGCCGCGAGGTGCCACCCCGCAGCGCAAAGCTAAGCATAGCCAGCCGCTCGCGCGCTCAACACAGACGTGGACGGGGCTGTTTAACACGCATCCATGTTTTAGTGCAATAAACAGCTGCGTTTTCGTGTAAACATTGGTCGCAACTCGCTAATCGCACCATAATGCTGGTAGAACCAATATCATGAGGTACCAGTCTACATGCATGGGCACCACTACACACGTGCAACTTAAACCAAGCGACATTGTAGTAGCGTCGTTGTCGCGCTCTGCAACGCGAATACTGACGCCGACTCCCGTGTTAAAATGGCACTTCCTCATAACCTAGTGCTTAGCTTCAACGTAAGACACAAGGAAGATGAGATGTATAAATGTGTTTCCAGTTTCACGAGGAAAGAGCTGTCTTATTTTTTCGCGTATAATTTATAAAGCAGTTTTAAAAATATAGAGATAAAACTAAAACAATCCAGTGATGTTTTGTAAAGATGCTTTCGCGGCAATGCTGTGTAGAAGTACACCGAAGCTAGCTTTACAATCACAGGCGGGGATCATATTTAAAACATGTTTCGCGAACCACTGTTGAAGGTGAAAACTCTACGCGAGAAAACATACTCAACTTAGCGGCGTGGACATCAAAGCTCGTGCTTGTGCAAGTCTTCTATCAAGTACAGCGATTCCCTAAGGGTGCAGTGTGGTCAGTTCAAATTGGTCGCCACTCATCAAGAGACCACTGTAATAACCATTAATTTGCTAACCTTTCCGTTGTCTACGTCGGAGAAGCTCGTGAGGGGATAACTTGCCCCCAAAGTCGCTAGGTTAACCGGAGCTGCGCCAGCACAGCTAATCATGGCGTCAAGTGCATGCGTACGCAGGTTTCTCGGGCGGCATATGCGAACAGTTCCAGTCCGGAGGCGGTGTGGTGGTGGACACAGGCACCACGGGCTACATCGGCAGGCTGAGCCTCAACACGGGCGTGGTTACCTTCCTCAACAAGAATATGCGCGTGCCACAGCGGGTCTCCGAAATCACCTTCGCCCACGAACTTGGCCACAATTTCGGAGCACCGGTGGGTTGTACAGCGATTTCTTTGAGTTGTTTCGAGTGGCATTGCGACGTGTAGGTCACTGACGTACACGGCAGCGGATCGCCTCTGCGGATAAGAAAGTGAACAGCTCATGCACTCGGCAATGTTCTCTCTCAAGCCGAGGTCACCACTCCTAGGAGCTCGCTACGTCCTTCCGAAGTGCGCGCCCAATAGGTGCAGGCTTCTTTGCATCCGCCTCTGAAAACCAAATGCCACGCATTTCTTGTATTTGATCATAGTCATATTCGATCAAAAAAAGCTATACAGCGCCTAATAAGCAACTTCACCGCTTTGTTTACTTCGATATTTTAAAGTAGCCCGCATTTTGAAACGACATCTGCACAAGTAATATCGAGATAGGGGCGCAATCGTATCACTCCGAAAAGCGCTTTCCGTCTACGTGGACTGCAATTGACGTTCCATCGATATCTTCCAGTCAACCAATTTCAAACAAGACTACTTTCTTGTAACTCTGTGGCAAGTTTTTTTTTTTTTTTTAAACAGTACGTAAGTACATACACTCTATACTGAATCTATTGATAAAAGCAGAAGTTTTAGAGCATTCGTTCTAAACTGCAAATACTCGCCAATACGGTGACTTACATGCGACCCATTGTCGCAGCACGACGAGCGTCCGGACTGTGTTCCCGACGGTTCCGGCGGCAACTACATCATGTATGCCAGCGCAACGCGAGGCAACAAGCCAAACAACCGGCGTTTCTCCATATGTAGCGTGCGCAACATATCGGCTGTCCTCATGCAGATGTTCACGAACAGCGGCTCCCGCCCAAACTGCCTTCAGGGTGAGGTTCACTGTTGTCCGTCGAAAAATTATCAATCCATTTAAAGCACTTGTTATCTTATCCGCTTAACTTTTGCAAGAAATCTAGAAGAGTTTTAGCACTAACGTTCGAAAGCGTAAACAAAAGCTCAATAAGGTTATGGGCGCTGCAAGGAACTTTTACCTTCCCCTCTTGCCGGAGGAATCCTTGCGCGCGCCTACAGTCCTCACGACAAAAAAAAAATTATTTCCAATGTGGTCGCTCTTGCTAACAAAGCCATAGACTCGATTCGCCATGTAGGTGCGAAATATGCAGAAATATAACGATTATTCTGTAATAAAACTACACCCAACACAATATTCAAGCCCAGTATTCAAACACAGAATTCAGAATAATCGAGTGGAAATACGAATCACCAACTTCTACATTTTTTGTATCGTGTATTATGAAGCATCTGCCTTTGAACCATTACTGTCTATCATAACGAGCCCCGGGCTCACAGAAACTCCTACACAAAAATGGATGTATGCTAGTTCTCTCACCTGAAGGCTAGGACGTAGCAAGACTTATTTATCGAGTTGAGGAAAGTGGAGCCAAGGGTGGGGAGAGTCAAGCCTTCTTTGTGTGTATAGGCGCTTGCGTTTGGATGTCATGCAAAGTTTCGGGAGTGGCATTGAGCCCCCTTCCTTGCAACGCCAAGTTCTGGTAAACAGTTGTCTGTAAGAGGTTCAACATCACCTAATTATTGCAACAAATATAGGCAAAAAAGAGAGCAGCGCGGCGACACACATCAACAAAGGCAGCGGAGCCTGATCAGACCCATCCTGAAAATTCGTCTGTGGACCTTATTTTCCTATGAGCGCAGAACTTCTGGAAGCGAATCTTAGTATTAATTTTTCGACAAGGCGCAGATGAGCTTGGTCATAATGAGCGCAGAACTTCTCGAAGGGAATCTTAGTATTTAACTTTCAACAAGGCACAGATGAGCTTGGTCACAAGTCCACCCATAGGAAAATCTCTTTGAAGCCAAACGCGCATATGGTGTTCATCTTCCACACATGCGTAGAACCACAAGGCCCGTTCTGCGGCAACTCCATTCGCGAGATGAACGAGGAGTGCGATTGCGGCTACGAGAGACAGGACTGCGGTGCCGATGTGTGCTGCTACGCGCGCAAGCACGGCGAGATCAACCGCAAATCCTGCACACTCAAGCCCGGTGCCGTGTGCAGGTAAGTCAGGGTATAAATTGTGCTATGCGAGTGTAGTAATGAGGCCATGGAAGCCAAGACATCTGGCCAGAACAAGCTGTAGCTATGGCCAGTCTTTCTGAGTAGATTCGTTCTCAAAAGCATGGAATGCGAAGCGTCTATTTCTATTCTTTCCTTTGCTATTACAGTCCGAGTAATGGAGCCTGTTGCAGCACTGACTGCCGCTTCCACAATACGTCGACGGCATGCAGGCCTGAAAACGACTGCACCTTCGAGGCTTACTGCACGTATCCTTAGCGACGATGCGACACGTTTCACGCGCAGAAGCTCGTTTTGGGTCTTGCCCGCGTAGAAGTCCCCAAAATCAAGGAGGTGCGCCTGCACACTCCTGCCTGCAGTGTACCCAGTGTGTGGATGCTTACCACCGTATTCAGAAACGCTGCTTGACTTGAGGTTGACTTGCCAGCACAGAGTTTCCTAATATACACTAGAGAGAAATCAGGCGCTAGTGTCTGTGGGAGGTGCAACACACGGCATTTCAGCGAGCATGGGAATGATGGGTAGTACACACATTTGCCTACTCTTCGTACTTCTGGCCTGCTTCTGGCTCCGTGTGTGTTCGTGTGACTTGGAGCTGATTTCTCGCGAAACAAAAATCAGCAAATGTTCAGTGATTGTGCTTCACCACATTTTTTTTTTTTCAGGCTTACCTTTTCAAATCGGGTCGCGACGTTCAAAACGGTTCGTTATTTCCTTCGTAACAAAACCAAAACATAACAATAAACGAAGCCAAACGTACAATTTTCTCTCCACAAGTACGAGAACTGGGCACATCCGTGTTGATTGATTGATGTGTGGGGTTTAACGTCTCAAAACCACCATATTATTATGAGAGACGCCGTGGTGAAGGGCTCCGAAAATTCCGACCACCTGGGGTTCTTTAACGTGCACCTAAATCTGAGCGCACGGGCCTACAACATTTCCGCGTCCATCGGAAATGCAGCAGCCGCAGCCGGGATTCAATCCCGCGACCTGCGGGTCAGCAGCCGAGTACCTTAACCACTACACCACCGGGGCATATCCGTGTACTAACCATCGTTCCCGTGGTCGCTGAACTATCGCAGCGCCAGAGTCCCCTCTAGTTAAATTTAGGAAACTTGATGCTTGCCAACGACTTCAATGCAGCACAAAGGCGTTTCGAACGCGCTGTCTATAGGTGGTGCAACGGCTGCACAAACGCACAGACGCGTTTTAAACGCGGTGCATTGAAGGCGGTTTTGTGTCAAATTCAAGTCGAGGAGCACTTATGAATGCGGGGGTTAGTGACGTCATTACACAATGCACTCTGTTCCTGCGAGCGGAGCCTAAGTGGCAAATCAAAACGCGAACCGAGTCCCGCCTTGACCACAATCAACCAGCGGCCAAAGCGGCGAGTGCCCTCCTTCAGACTGGAAGCGCGACGGCACGCTGTGCAACCACGCCACTCAACTGTGCGATGCCGGCGAGTGCAGCCAGTCTGTCTGCCGGCTGTACAACCTGGTCGAGTGCTACCTGACCGGGTCGTACCTGAGCATGGAAGACATGTGCCTCATCGCCTGCAGGGAGGACGGTGCGTGTGACACGCCGTGAGGGAAAGCCGACGTGAACTTGTAATCTTGCTATCCGTGTCGATGCAAAACAGCGCACGCGTAAGGTGTGAACTTCCCGACAGACACAGCTTTGCAATTTTCATTATCAGGTTTTTCTTTCTGCTACGTTTGCTTTAAATGGTGATACGTGATGTGGGCTTGGAACAAACAATCAGTCATACACATCAGTTAGCGCTGTTTAATGTTCTATGCTAACAGAAAACCATGGTCGAACCGCGGTACATTATCGGATTGAGACGCGCACATCATGCTATGAAGACTAAATATTTATACACTTCGACACAGAGACGTATGTGCAACGGCCATTTGGTGACTCATTCTGGTTCCGGTCATTTTACCGGTGTATTTACCAGCTAGAACATGTATCCAGTAGCATTTTTTCAACGGCTGGAAACTTCCATTTCAGTTGCTCAGACTGTCCCAAATTTCTTCGTTTTCGGTGTATTTTAAATGGAATTATGGCAACCAGGTAGCTCATGATTTGTTCTAGGAAAGACCTCGTCTTGCGTGTCGATCGCGTGCAGTGCCGGGAAGCGAATGCAAGGAGGCATGCAGCTTCGAGCGGATGCGCGACTTCTGCGGCAGGCGCATGGAGCCGGGAGCCCCGTGCCACGACTTGCAGGGATACTGCGACGCCTTCCAAAGGTGTCGCTTCATCGATGCCGAAGGCTTGCTCTCCAGGCTCAAACGACTCGTCTTCGGAGGCAAGGGCGCGGGCAGCGCACTTCTGGTAAGACCAAACTGCGGTTCATCATCGTGAGAGCGACAAAAAGGAAATCTTTTCAAATGATTCACCAACGAAAAGTTTGTTCTTTTATCTATTCCATGCGTGTCAAAGCGCTGATGTAATGAGTCATAGGTTGGCCGGTATGGCAGATTGTTTACTGCTACTCTTTGAAAGCGTTATTAAAATAATCGGATGCAGGTCTATATATAGTGTCATTGGGCGTTTCTTTTTGCGTGCCAAAACCACAATAGTATGGAGGCACACAATAGCGGGGCACCTCGAATTAAGTTGGGCAACCTGGAGTTTGAAAAAAAAAACTATATACCACGTTGATTTGCCAACAAATCTTAGCGATTCCAGAGCTTCATAGTCAAAGGACTATTTTTTCTGTATCATGGTAGCCGACCTGCCGCTAAACTGCTTAGTTATGAGAAGGCCCGCTACGATCAGCTCTTCTACCAAATGTTCGTGGCAAGCGTGCGGTTGTCTATAGCTGACATGGACTAAAAAGATACACGCCAAAGAACTCCCTTGGTCCCAAATTTAAAATGCCAATGAAATGTCATGCTGTGGATTTCCAAACAGCACCAGCTCGCACCGCAATACATGTACTTTTGTAGCCATTGCCGTGCCACTTTCCGAGCGGTATGCGACTTCGCCGACGACGCCTCACAATAGTGGCATCATTAGCCGCGGTATCTGAGAGCTCACAATATACAACTTCAACTCGTATTCGCACTTCGATTCCACAAAACACATTGCAGATATCACATTTAGGTATACTTATTCAAGGAAGAAGCTTGCAGTTGCAGCGTGAATCTGTTGTCAAAAGGCGCGAGAGTATAAGCCTAAGCTAGAAGTAAACACCTTTCGATGTATTGTGTCACGCAGCGCTACTGGTACCTGACAGCGGCCGCGGTCGTGCTGTGTGGTGCGGCCACGGTCGTGTTCGTGCGAGCTTGCGCCGTGCACACGCCGAGTACCAACCCGCACCTGCCGCCGGAGAGGACCATCATTTCGAGTGCGCGCCACCCGGTCGCCTTGCTCAAGGACATAATGCGCTTCCATTGAAGAGCACGTAGAAGCGCCCTCCCTCATTCAACGCCGTTGGAAATCGACTGTTTGAGCGCCTGATAGCTTGTCCCGAGAAAAAGCTTAGAACAACATGCCCCTCCCCGCACCCCCTTTTTGCAGAAGCGTGGAAACTATAACGGAATGACCAGTCCACATGATATGAATGAATGCATTATGAATTTATTTTCTTCGAGAACGTTTCATAAATGAACGCGCAACAAACGCTCTATTCAAGTTGCGCGCTGTTGGAGACTAGTATGGTTATGTGATGTACTCTATGGACAGAAGAAAACGTGCTTTCAATATCACTTTATTGCCGCTTTTCTAGGGGCGAAGCTCTTTATAGCGACACCCGTTCGTCCCTCGTAGTCGTTGTAGTAGTGTGTAACAAGTATAATATTTTGACATCCAAGGTGGAGCCGGTGAGAGATTTCTTCAGTGCGTTGTCGAGCAGTAAAATATAATGCTCAATGTACATGCCAATGGCTGCTAATGGGGAATGAGAGACAGGAGAATTCGGCTTTTAGTTAACACGCACACTGCGAATTTTTTTTATTGTTCAACAACGCACAGAAGACAAGAAACGGTTGCTACGTTATACTCGCTGGGCGTAACCTCCTAGGTTTTAGAAAGGTTTAGCGAGCGTTGGGCCGCAGTGCGATGAATACACTGAACTAGTTTATACCATAAACTCGAGGCCGTTAAAGGTGCGAAATAGACACGAAGCGCAAGCCGTAAGAAAGTGTGCGTGTGCCTCCTCTCGTTCAGTCTTTGGAATGTCCGCTGGATGGCGGTGCTTCTATATGAGGAATATATGATGAAAAGATGCGAGATGATGGTACTTGGAGTGTTGAATAGGTGGACGAACGGACACACAGACAGATGCATGGATGGACGCACGGATGGCTGCACGGACGGATGGATTTAGGGACGAAAGCAGGGACGGATGCACAGAATAAACGCACAGGCGGCCACAGACGCACTCATGGATGGACGGAAGCAAGAACGAATGGACGGGTGGATGCTTCGCCCCACTATCCATCATTCACTCCGTGGATATGCTGCCAATTTTTTTTAGATGCGGAAGCATCTTATACTCGCGCCTTGTAGTGCGCCGTCCGCGCCGTCCGCACCGCTTCTCGAACATTCGACAGCTGACGCGCGCGCATGCGCCGTCGCGCCGTCGCCCACTCTTCCACCATCTGTGCATCCCTTCCTCCTCTACACACCGCGCGTGCTTCACTCCTCCACCATCTGTGCACCCTTCCTCCTCTACACACCGCGTTCGACATCTACAATTCTCCTGATTCTCCAGTGGACGCGCATGTGGCGTCGCGGTTCGAGAACATTCAACAGCTGACAGTGCATGCGCCGTCGAGCTGTATATATACTCAAGGTCGGCGCTCGCTCGCTCAGTTGCCGCTCGTCGGTTGGTTTGTACGGCGCGTCGACGTCCAAGGTCGCGGTGAAATGAATTCCAACGAATCCACAAACACAATGATTGACGTCCCTTCGACCAGCGCCGCCCTTTCGCATACGTGTGTACGTGTTCACTCATTTAACACCCCCTCCTACAACCACGTTAACCAAATTAGCCATCGACCCAAGTAAGTCGATATTTAACACCCCATTTCACAACCACGTTAACCAACTTAGCCATCGACCCAAGTAAGTCGCACTTTAACACCCCGTTAACCAATTATATGCTCCGCATCCTCCTCAGTGTTCCCCCGAGGGAAGCTGCGGGCAATTTTTTTTGTGACCACCCTTTTTCTAGCATTTTCTTCTAGGAAAGAATGTGAATGATATTTCACGCTATTTATTTTGTCTTGTAGGCTTGCCATGCATAGCCGTGCATAATTCATTCCAAATGTTTGTTCGTTTTTTAAATAAAGCATCATTTCCACTTCTGGGAGGGGTGCTTCGAAGCATGTAATAATTTGGCACGTAATTTACATACACAGTTCAGCCAATGTGGTCTGTACTGTTCAAAAAAAAAAGAGCCGGCATTTTATGCCCTCCACAAGGGTATAGTGTCAGTATTACGGCATTATAACGAAGATGAACCGTGCATAATGTGCAACACACTATGTCAGCTAAGTGAGAGACGTGTTGCGAAGCGCGCCTCCGACAATGTTACGAAGGGCGCCACGAATCTCACCGCTGCAACCAGTGTTTACGAAAGACGGCGACGCCAACACGGTCCCGATGGCGCCACTGCTTCGAACTCCACCGGAAAGGTCACCAGCCGTTTGGTAGCGTAAGTTTCTCAGCTCGCGACTGCTTCTGCGCTGAGCCGATAGTCGAGCGAACGAGACGACGGTGAGTTAAACAAGGTTTTATGTACAGCATATATACAGAGGCGTTACAAATTCGGCACTGGGGCCGACAGCTTAGAGACCCGAAGAGCCGAGCTCTCCTCTCTAACACAAAGGTCTGCTGCTCGCAACGCGCCGCAGGGCTTTTTTTATATGCACCGGGTGGATTCTTTCAGTAACCAAATGTCCAACCAGAAGCACCGCTGGTCGTGAGGTCAGAATCCTCCAATGGGGTTGCCGCTGGGCCGCGTCATTCTCATCGAATCTGAAGCCGCTGCGCTGCACGTGGCTGCACCCAAGGACGAGTGACGTCGCCCATGCATTGTGTCAGACTCGTCAGACAGGAAGGCGCCGGGTCGCTGGCTGAGGTGACTCACTGTGCGTGCGCCGCAGAAAGGCATCGTCGCGTGATGACGCCGTTGAGTTGTTCATCGCGTCAGGCGGGCTCGCGTGCTGGCCTTAACACAGATTGCCTTTTTCAGAGGCATGGACGTTCGCTGTGGACTCCCAGGCATAACAGGCGCATGCACTGCATGTTTAAGTTTTCGCAGCATTCCCGGGATTATAGAATAAACGTCGAATTAAAAACAAAATGAACACGATCCCATGGCGGGCGTCATAGAAAATTATCGCAAAGCAGTACCAGCTTCTTGGGACAGTAAGAAAGCAGGCAAGAACTGTGCACAGTGTAGGCGCTTTGCTGATACACTGGAACTCGGATCTAATTGAAACTTCCGAGCTCATCGCTCAGCTCAAGGCTGTCCGGAAAACCCAGGCCGTCGTCAAAGGACTCCTACCGGTCCCGACCTGGGTAGGACCGCTAGGTTGCCTTGAATTCTATTTCATTCACTAGGAATTAAGTTTCTCGAAGTCAGTATTATCCTTAAATGTTCAGTACATGATAGTATTCACCTTATAATACGAGTTGTCCAGAATGTCGTTCTTAGTCTACCAACTCAAAATATTGCAATCAATCGACCACAGCCAGTGTATTGCTTCCCCATCGCTTTTTGCATCATCGGTATAACGTATTAGCATGTTTAAGTTCACTTCACACCGCGGGTAAGCATGAGCGCATCACACAGTGTTCAAGGTATTCACTTGAACAGGCGTCCCAGAGGCGCCATCTTTTCACAAATGTCGGCAATATGTGACGTCACGATGACGTCGTATGGTGACGTCATTACGTGCTTTCTTGCATCACTCGTACTGACGCCGCCGACGGAGGACACCGACGCTGTATACACCAGCCTATATTCGCGTTTTACGGGGCACCTAATTTCGCCTTATTACGAAGAGGAGGACATCGTGGCGGGTGTCATGGAAAGCTACCGCAAGGCGGAGCCAGCCACTTCGAGAGCACAGAAACTCGTGGAGTAAGCATAGTTCAACTTGAACGAGTACGAAGCGATGGCGTGATCCGGCTCCATTTGTATCTCTTCGGCCAGCTAGACTTCACTGCTCGGCGAACACCTCAAATGTGAAGCGTGGAAAGCAATGTATGTTTCTATAACATGCCCGTAATGCAGCAGGCACAGCTGTCCACTTTGTTTATGCTGTGGTTCATTATGACTGCAATGAAGTACGAAACCCTTTCGAGTTCCTGCCTCTCGAATGCCTCTCGAACTCAATCCTGCCACTCGAATGCAGCTTATGCCTCCCTATGTCACGTCTGTTATCGCGGCTGTATGTGACGCCTGCAAAGGGTTTTCATTTTTCATGCATCAGTTTGAAGCACTGGCGTTAATGTGTGGCAGAACGCCTGCTACCCACGCAAGAGGTCTGGTTTCTACTCCATATCGGACCCACTTTTTTTTCCTTAGCATGGACTGAGATTTTTGTCACGGAAACGCCGATTTTTCTCTCGCACCCGATGACGCGGACAGCGACAACAGAGCTTGAGCTGCAAGGGTTCTGTAATGCTATCACGTTGAAAATTAACCAAGTATGCGTACCGACAGGCTTGACAAATTCAATTCCTCTGCCACACAAAGACATTCATTCAAGCGAGGAAGCATAGTAATGATCTTACAAGATTATAAACGTATATCATAGATTAAAGCCAAATTATTAATGAACGTATCGGCAGAATTTAAACAATAGCAAATTATAAGCATACTAGGATACTAGTATAGTAGTAGTAGTAGTAGAAGTGGCATCACAGTATTTAATGCAATAACATTGTGCAGACGACCAACTATATTTGACCCAGGAGTTCACAAAACATCTATATTACCTAAACAAATTGTGGAATTCAGAATAGAAAGCACTACTTCATATTAATTTACAACATCAATAAATGTTACTATTAAACACAAAAGGAATGTTCATGAGAGGGCGTATACTTTGCAATGTTCCTTCGTCTCTCAATTCTCTTACCACAGGTGCCAACGCCTATGAGTATAAACAAGTCACAGTGGCAGGCACAGCGACGCATGCCTTACGCGGTCAGCAGTAGCTACACAGCAAGCCTTAGCCAACAAGGCTCCCCACGCGAAGGGAATCACTCACATAAAAAATATAATACAGGTGGACTGCGATTCGCAGGCACTATTTCCTGTTCAACATTTTCTACACTACTTGCAACTGTACGTCATTTACAGACACTTGATTCATAATAACTCCCTAAATTAACGCCAGGTTGTATGCCTGGATAGTTGGAACAATCTCAAACTCGTT